GAACGCTACGAAGAGGACCGAGTGGATGACTTGCACCGATTGGAAGAAGTCCGCGAAACGGCTTTGATTCAGTCGGCTCGATACTTACAAGGGCTGCGACGTTATCATAATCGCAATGTTCGATCCCGTGCCTTTCTAGTCGGCGACCTGGTTTTGAGGAAAATTCAAACTACACAAGATCGGCACAAGTTATCTCCTCTATGGGAAGGGCCATTTATCATCTCTGAAGTCACCCGACCAGGTTCCTATCGACTCAAGCGCGAAGACGGTACACTTGTCGACAACTCTTGGAACATTGAACATCTTCGTCGTTTCTACGCTTAAGCTTATCATTGTACTTCCCTATCTTGACTGTCAACATCAAGTTTTCTTCTTGACGTTGTCAGTCAGGGGCTATCATCATAATAATGGAGTGTGATTTTTTATCACTTTAATTTGCTTACTTGGTCTATCATTGCCTTGTTTGGTTTTTCTACTTAGTCTGCGAGGACTGAAAGTTTTTAATAGCTTATTTGGGTTTTAGGCTCAACAAAGCTTGATAAAAGCTTTTAAGAAATCAAAGACTTGGCTAGATTTATCAAGCACAGCATAAATACACCAGTATTGTACAAGTTATGCCTCCATTTGCTACATTTATACTCAGTCAGAATCAGTCTTTTCATCATCAGAGTTATTACTACTTGGCTGAAGGTCGGTATTGCGGAATTGATCTACAACGTCACTTGCAATCTTGTCAGCCGCGTTTTGAGCATTGCTGATAAGATCAAGAGCAGCTTCTTCGCTTGTCCCGTCTGCAAAGCCATCAATGGCGTCAATTTCAATCCTTGGGTACAAGGATTTGGTCATCGCCAATGCCATGCTAGCTCCCATACTTCCAGCTTTCTTGATATTCTTGAAATATACATCCGGAGCAACTCTCAGCTTGTCGAAGATTTCGGTTGCGTCGAGTGCACTCGGACCACTGTTATTGAGGAACATAGCTTGGACGAGTGGTGTAGCGACATTAGCGACTTCATCTCTTGCTCCTTCAAGCCTCTTGATCTTACCAACCAGGACGTCAAATTGAGCTTGAGATTTGATTTTGCGGTCTACAAAACACATTTATGATCAAAATCTACTGCATTAAAAAGAGAGAAGTTCAGATTGTTAGCTGGCAGTACCTTCAACCTCCTTCAAGGCCGAGTCCCTTTGCGCAGCCAGTCCTACCTTGTCTCTTTCCAGGGCTTTAATTTGTTTCTCCATTTGAGCCATTCTGGCGGCTTGCGCTGTTTGAAATCCAAATGGTTGAGGATACAGTTACGACAGCGTAAATTAATGGGGCAGATCTAGAGATTACCTTTTGATGAACCACTCAGCTCGAAGTTTGAATCCTGGAGCTGAGCAATTCGGTCCCTTAATTCCTTCTCTGTCTTTTTGGCGAGCTCCTTGGCCTCATGTAGCTGATCCCTAACTGCTTCAAGAGTTCCCAAATGAGGAACCAGCTTTTCTAAAGTTACGGTCTTGGCCTCATTGCGAAGATGGATTCTCTGCATGATGATTCATGGTTTAGTTTTGCTGAAGAGAAAACAAAGTCATCAAAGGCAGTCACCCGGAAGATTTACATTCACAATGCGAGTGGCTTCTCCAAGTGCCTTCTTCAGCTGGCACACTTCCTCATCTTCTTTTTGACGATTTATGACGATGCCGGCAGCTTGTGAGTTCTCGTCCCACCATTTGAGCAAGATAGGAGGACGAGAGTCATCAGTCACCTTTATGCGAGGAATTTCTTCTTCGTCATCGCCTGGTGGTCCTGATGTATTTCCAAGACATTAGACAAATAAGCTGAAGTTATTTAAATCGGCATCACTTGAGAAGATGAGTTACTTGAGGATGTTCCTAGCTGAGCGTGGGGAGATCCTTGTTCTTTATCTGGAGACCCGATCATCGAGTCGTTACCAGCCTCCGGTTCTTGAGAAGTTGTCGTCTGCGCTTCAACTTCGGGAGTTTCTTGATCTAGACCTACATCCGACTGGTTTCCAGTCGGGGGCTCTTGGGTTGTTGTAGTTTCAGTTGCTGCCGACTGGTTTCCAGTCGGAGGCTGGTCACTCGGATTGGCATTATCACCTGAAGTATGGGCGCCAGTCGGCTGGCTTTCGGCAGTCGGCTCAGAATCCTTGGATGAACTTGGTTCTGTCACAGTCGGATCAGGATCTTTTCCAGTTGGATCTATGTCGGATGGTTTCCTGCAAAGTGTTCTTTCAATATTCAGTATTATTTCCATGAGAGAAGCATGTCGAAGTGAAATGGTACCAAGAGGTTTATACCTGGAAGATGTTCTAATCTTTGGCCTTGGACGACTAGCCAGTTTTTTCCTGGGAGTGGTATGCTTTGGGAGTTTATTGGGCGAGCCTTTGTCCCCAGATTTGTTGCCGTCATCACCTTCGTCGTCATTAAGCACCAGCTTTCTCTTGCGAGAACTTATCTGCCCAGTCGGATTGGAGGTTTGAGGTTGCGGATCTGATCTGATTGTCGGCCCTCCACCTCCCTGAACGGTGTGCTGGCGAGGAGACCGGCGCTGAGTGATTGGGGGGTCAGACTTCATCAATACATATTCCTGAATGAGATGCCTCCACGGTTAGTTAACTCAATATGAAGACAAGATTATGTTTTGGTCATGAGTTGAAGATTTCGGATACGTACCTGCGGAGGCAGATTGAATGCGTTATATGGCACAACTGGCAGCTGATGTGAGTAGCTGACGACGATAGCGTTTGAGAAGATTTTATACATTCTCTCCTTCATGATTTTAAAATCCAGAGAATCTGGTTCTTCACGATTAGGATCATGATTGCCATCAAACTCGAATGCTGCACGGGATCTTTCTTTAATTGGTGCCAGTCGGCATTTGATGAAGTGCCGAGTAATCTGCTCTCCTTGTAAGCCTTGTTCTTTGAGTTTTAGCATGCGATCCATCAGCTCCAAGGCTTGGGCTGCTTCATCCCCAATCGGAAGCGAGTTCCAGGTATCTTGGTACACCGGAGGAAGACAAGAGTACTCGGGAAGAGCAGGCTCAGGATTCTGAATATAAAACCAGTTTGCATGCCACCCTTTGTTTGAGGTCTTGAAGGGCATAGAGAAATACTTCTGGCTCAGAGTCCCCCTCAGCTGAAATCCGGCCCCTCCGACTACACATGGCTTACTCTTGTTTGGTTGGGGCTTGAGAAAGAAGATTCGGCGAAACAGAGCGAAGTGGGGCTTAATTCCCAAGAAGGCTTCACAAACATGGACGAAATTGGCGATGTGGACTATGGAATTTGGGTTTAGGTGATGCAAGCTGATTCCATAGAAGCTTAATATCCCGCGGAAAAATTTTGAGGTCGGAAGAGCGAAGCCGCCATAGAAGAAATGGGAGAAGACCACAACCTCGTGTGTATCGGGGGTCGGAAAAGCCTCACCACATGCTGGCCGCCACCCGATGATTTCCTTGGCAGGGAGAACGCCGTGCGCCACCATCTCCTTCAGGTTCTCCTCCGTGACGTCGGATGGCGCCCATTGGCCTTCAAAGCTTTCCTTCTCTTCCGCCATTAATTTCACCCGAATGTGCTGATTTGATTCGAGGGATGGCTGGGGAGAAGTGAGGGATTGAGGCGGTGGATCACGGGAAGGATTTTGATGAACTTTTCGAAGGTGGATTCGAGTGGAATGGTGAACCCTAGTTTGCCGGCGCAGCTTTGTACTGTAGCAGGGAGTGGGGAAAATGGCGAGAGTTCCGGCGGGGAAGATGAAGAGTCGCTTGGATCTTGGGTTTTCTTGTTAAGGGTATCGGAGGTGCAAATGGGCTTAGGCCTGAACAGTACCTCAGCCCAGTACTTTTAACAGCGTGGCCCATTGTGCTCCTTAGGGACTTAGGCATTTTTTTTTGCTTTGGCAATTTATGCGCACAATAGTGTTGCCCAATGCTGATAAAATCCTTTTTACGCGGTCATATAATTCTTTGGAATTATTGCAATGCAAATTAAAATGTGCCCGACAGAAAGGTGTTATGCTGTTTTTGTAAGCTTTTTTAGGCTACAAAAGCTGTCTGGGTTAACTTGGAATGGCTTGTTTTTACCATAGTCATTTCCCTGGTATGTTATATGCCTGTTTTCATTATGGTAAATAGTCATAGCCTAGGCTATTAGACTTATTCATTACCATAATTTTTATAATATTTGGTGGGTAATCTTTAGAGTTTTTTATTCGGATGCCTGTCAAGTGTGTTCATTCGTGAACCTTTTAGAGTGTTAACCACTCGGATTCCTTTTAATTGTGGCTAAAAAGCAGTCGGCTAAGAATGCCTCTTTAGGCGCCGTGTATGCTTTTGTCATATGATGCATGATTGTGCTATTATTTTGTTCTCAACTATATGTTTAGTTTGTTAACTAATCACATAGTTGGGGGCTACACCTAATTAGGTGCATCTATTCGATGCACCATATTCTTTATCTTTTCGCCCTTTACAGTCTTCGTCTTCGCTACTCGGCAGGCCTTGGCATGAAAAGTTTGAAGCACTCGGATTATTATCTTTGAGAAGGCTATGATGGTTGACTGCAAAGGTCTCGGGGGCTACTGTGGAGATTATGGATATCCCATATCTACACGGCGATGATATTTGGGCTGAATATAGGATACCGAATATAGATAGAATATCTTATTTGTATCTCGGGTTTGTTTCTCAACTTGTACATCAAGGAAATACCTTGAGACTTAGTCGGTTACGACTGTATTTTATCTGTATCTGCATATTCCGTTAGGGATATAGATTATCTTTTGTAACACGGACTCCCTCCCATATATAAGGGGGGTCCGGGTGCCTCTAGGGGCAGAGGTTGATTTTCTCCAAATTATACAATCAATAAGACACTCGGCGGATTCATCCCCGGACAGGAGTAGGGTATTACTTCTTGAATAAGAAGGCCTGAACCTGTATAAATCTTTTGTCTCCAAACCCATACACTTCTCCAGCTTGATAGCCACCCCCTTTTATTATTGCCGAAATCTAGTTTCGACAATGATTTTTGCCATCCAGATAAAGATCAATTCTCCAGTAGTGTTCCTTCCAAATATAAAATTCTAACTATCATTAACCTTTTTTTTATCATTTTCTTATCACACCTGATTTAATTTTTACAACATGAGATATCATCCCTTGAAACTAATTATCTCACAGATGCTCAAAACACAATTAATCGACAACACTACCCATCTCGCCCATATATGTATCCGCTCTCACTTCTCCTGGAGCTTGAAGAAGGCCATGAGAGGCGCATACACCCTCTCCCCGGCGTTCCGGGCCATGACGAAGTCGGCGTGCGCGTAGTCGGCGAGGTACTGCACGGTGAGCTTGTCGCCGTCGCGCGAGTGCGACTGGCCCAGGGCCCGCAGGAGGCGGCTCACGTCCTGGACGTCGGAGAGGCTGTCCCTGCCGCCGTAGCTGAGGAAGAGAGGGAAGTCGCCCGGGATCGCCGTCACGTCGTACGCTGGCGGCGTCGCCTGCCCGTAGTGCTCCCTGTTGTCGCCGGCATTGCCGTAGTCGTACTTGGCGATCGTGCCTCCTCTAATCACTGCTTGGCACAAGCATTTTGGTTTTAGGAAAAATGCGGATAAGATATTATATTTTTCAGCGTAAAATTTAATATCTCTATATAGCTATGCCAAAATTATTGCACATCTTTCTGGAGTATAGGTATTTGATTTTAGAAAAAAATAATATGGACACTTGAAATAAAAAGTATGATGATAAGTTTTTTTTAGTGCGAAGGTATTGACGTATCTAGTTAATAATTGTATGGTTTCTCAAGAGATATCGGGCAGTAACACAATTTTAATGTTGATTTGTTATACTACCTCTTGTTATCTTCGTCATATTATAGAGTGATGATTATGTATCTCGTGACACCCTCTCAAAGCCCTCAAAAATTCTCTAAATACTGATGCTAAAAGTGTGGTACCTTGTGTTACCTTCTCAAATACTACGGATGACTAAAGATGGGAAAACTGTCATATTCTTTCAGGTGGTAGGATTCTTTAAAAATCATTTGTACAGACTATTTGTCAGTTCTCATACTCACTCTGAGCCAGGTGGATCATGTTCTTGGTGGCTGTAGCTTGAGGCTCATGGGCAAGGAAGACCTGAACAGAGGAGTTGTCGAGGCAGCAGTTGTCACCTGCTCCAATCGTCAAAATGCAGGTCAATAACATATTAGATTTGAAAAAAGAACACAATTATATTCGGTCGTGACAACTTATGCATATAGCTACTATTACCTGTGAATGCTGACATCAGATTGTAGCAATCGATGCCTGGTTGCTTGCAAATGTCAGTGACCAAGCTGTGAACGTATTCTCTGCATAGAAATATAAATTGTCACTTGTCAGCAAGAAATGAATGAACAGTAATAAACACAATTCACCAAACCTCGTAAATATCGATATAAATAGGAATTCTGAAAACATCTTGGTCTGAAGATTGGAGAAATCGAAGGCTTGAAACTACCTTAAAATTCCACGGTACTTGAGAGGTAAAAAACTATCAATTGTTTTTAAAAAAATTGGTACCCATAATTACCGAAGGTACTGAGAGATACTAAAATTTTTTAACATTTAAAAATATGGTATCTTCTGGTACTTTATTAAGGACTGTAAAATCACTCAATTTGAAATTGTATTTTGTTTAAAATTTCTGATTTTTTTAGAACTTATTTCTGAAATTTTAGATCTACCGTTGGACCCTACAAGTGCCTGTAGCAAACAGAACTGCATTTGCTCGAATGAAGCCTATACTATTTGTTCAAATTTAGCAAACTAAACTTCAAACTTTATCTGAAAATTCCTTTCATCTCCTTGAATTTTTTGAAACTCGGTTTTCTGAAAAGCAATGGGAAGAAATTGAGCTTTACCCTGTAGGATCGAACTCACTGAGCCCCAGCCAGTAGAGTGCCTGCACAAGCAGAGAACACACAGAATCAATCAGCAAGCTAGCCCGTTTAATGGCCACGCCATTCGTCGTCGTAGTCGTCGGCGTCGGCGGCGTCAGCTCCGGCGAACTTACCTCAGCCAAGAAGACGTCGGCCGCCGCGCGCGCCAGCGGCGACGACATCTTGTCGAGGAAGGCGATGGGGCTGAGCAGACCGGCCGACCGCAGCATCCCGATCTGCTGCTGCTGATCGCTCAGGGCAGCCAACGCGATCAACGTGCCCTGCATCCACAGTTCAGAAGATCAACCAAGGGCAAAGGATCGATTTGTCTGTGTGCCTAAACTTGGTGGTTGATTATCGAGCGGATTATCTACTCAATCAATTATAGTGATAAATTTAATATTTTAAAAAATAAACTTGATATATAGTTTAAAATAAGTTGTCTAAGCAATACTGTAGAAGTACGTTTACGTTTAAGAGAACATATTTGTTCAGAACGTGAAGTACATAATCCGTTTAAATAAGCTGAAAAATAGAGTTAAGTTAAAAATTTTTTAAGGATGACCAAAATTCGTTTGGCTGCGGGAATTTTTACCCATGTGGTACTGAAACTGAAATGCATTTTTTTTTTGTTCCTAACGCCATTTCACTTACCAAAGAGTGGCCTACGTAGTGCATCTTCTGCTGGCCGGCTTGGCTGTACACGTACTGCACTACTGCTGATAGGTCCTTGCTGGACAGCTCGTCCCATGACCAGTTCCAGTATGCCTAGGTTTCATATGCCAATAAATTTGTAAAATTTCCCATTTTAATTAGCGGCATAAGCAAGAGCAAGTAAAATAAACACAAAAGTATTAGTCCTAAGACGCAACATAGGTTCAGACGATAAGGTGAAATAGAGAAGGGATGAGGGAGAGGAGCCGTGTCTACTAGTAGTATAATATTTTATATGAACAGGCTGATCGAGAGTTTTTTCTTCACGGGAATCCAATAATTATAATTTTCTTTTCTGAACAAACAACCAAATAATATTTCTATTTCCAAACAAACTAACCCGAACTGTCGAGCGCACGCTGTGCACTGAATCCTTGTAGTAGCAAGTATCCATAAAATTAAATAAGTGTACACCATAAGATTGGCATGATACGATCATAGATAAATAGATAAAGAGTAGCGTCCTCAAAATAAGGTACGTCTATATTGCATAATAAGTGAGTGAAGTCTGGACGGTAGAGAATCAGACTATAAAAGTATTAAAGAATTAATTGATAATAATGTATTGTATGTACTGGAGAGAATATATATACTATTTTCAGCTTAACTAATCCCTAATCAAAAGGAGCACGGGTCTTTGCCCGTGACCCATAACAACCTCTTTTTTTTTCTTATATAACAATACATTTTGTTAATCATGTGTATTATTTACATCATTAGATGGCTATCATCTCAAATTTCTAAAATATTACTTAATACTTTTAAGATAGATAGTTTGTTTCTCATTTTGCTAAGATCTACTCCCTCCGTCCCAGAATATAGCAACCTATGATCGGATGGGACGTATCCTAATACTACGAATCTGAACATCCCGGAGAAGTTTTTTTTCTAATTGTTGCCTATTTATTTAGACTTTTCGCCTAGAAGATATTATCACCGTTTATGATCCATTTGCACAGTATTCTTATCGCTAAATCTATTATATACTAAAAGTCCATTAAACTTCATTCAAACGCTCTCAAGTCAGCACGTGACACTCCTACAAACGCTCCAAGGTCGTCATGTGGCACTTTAAAAATCATAAAAAATCTAAGAAAAAAATAAAACATCTAGCCATTGATTTTCATTTAATCTGGTAGGACCATTATTTTTAACCATTAGATCTATCCTCTAAATTAACAATCAAATTTATATCTCCAAAGATCTAAATTGTTCCATATCTGTACGTGAGTACGTACATTTGTATCCCGAAACCCACACCCGACCCAAAAAAAATTGTACGTGCACTTCTCTTTCCTTTTTTTTTAATTTCTCACTTAGTTGAAAAACCAATCTAATAATTAGCACATCTTAACTATAATTTAAGTTGTAAAAATAAAAATATATGTTATTTCAAGTTATGTTCAAATAAAAAATATATCTCATGGAAACATTCATGAAAAATATAAATAAATTAAAATTATAGATATATCACTTAACAACATGTATAATTCTATTAGATTTTTATTTTTAAAAGTAAAACAACTTCGACTGTGAGTAGCATTCTCAAAATTTACTCAATACCTACTAGAAAAAAATATTGATATGTTAAAATGACATTACTAAATTTATTTTGAATAGTTTCTTTTCATATATTGCTAGAAAATCAACGACGAAATATATTCTTTTGATACCGTGTCGATGTCTTTTATCTCCTACCTAGGCTTTCAATGGATCTGGCTGAGTTTATTTAGGACACACAAAATGATGCACGTCATAAAAAAAGGATTAATTAGGTATTAAATATTACAAAATTGAAAATGGGTTTATTTCATGTTTTAAAAATACTTTTGTATAGAAAGTATTTAGAAAACACGCATCGTTTAGCTCAAGAAACTTCTGTAGTTTGGGAAACACGCTCATCTTAAATAACAAAGTAGCCAATCAGATAAGCACTTTCGAAGTCAACCTTACATACTAAAACACTTAATATGAAGTACATAATATACTTTGTCAATCAGGAACAAGCCAAATATATCAATCTTATGCTCCCACTAATCCTATGTATATAAGTTATATATAGAAACCACTGTCCACCAATCGCCAAGTCATAATAGTTATGAGGCATCCATGCATTGTGCAACTAATAATTAGCTGATAACCAATAAGCACATGTGTTATCAAGTACAAAAGATAAAGGAAGTACTAAGTGAGAACCATCAATAAATGATATGTAAGTAGAGATACACCAAGCTGGAACAAATAATAGTTGATTACAAGTAGACTACGACTATTATCAATAGTGTTCCTACACACCTGCATATACTTCTAAGATACCACAAAGACACTCTAATAAAATAGAGAAAATGTAAGAAAATTATAATAAATAGAAAAAAACATTTAGCCATTGATTTACACTTAGACTAGTGGATCCATTATTATCAACCATTAGAATATATCTATGTAATCCCTCACTCCTAAATACCGGCTAATCCCTCCCTATGTACGTACGTACACAAGAGATGTCAAAAAGAAGAAAAAGTGTGTATAATCAACTCATCAAGTAGTTTTCTCTTTCTTTCTTTGCAGCTCTAAGGTTTTTTCTGAAATTATGTATATATATAGTGACCACTTCTGGTGAGGTTGTCGAAGAAGCCACGCCGCTGCAGTGCTGCTTCACACCATCCCACCAAATCTCTTCAAAGTATTTATTTTAATAATGGTATAAAAGGGAATTGTGAGCACTCATATAAATACATGCACATCCAACTTATAAATACAATTACACACCTATCTTATCAGAGAAAAATATTTATCAAAAAAGGAAAAAGTACATTCGTACAGGTGACTACTATTTGCTAGAAAAAACATACATACTTACAATAAAAAATATCACATGGAACCACATTATATCCCATTTAATTATGACATTCTCATCCAAATAGTGTTGATAATTAGCACAAATAATTTTGCCAATAAAGATTATTCCATCGTATATTACCTATGAATATGCATAGATGAATCGGATGTATAATGAAAGAGAAAACAAACACATATTAACTCATACTTTTGTGAAGAATGATGATAGGCGAGTTCACATATAACTGGGATATAAATATTTCTATATTTACTATTACAATCTATTTTCTTATAAAAAATAGTGAGATCTGACTTCTTTTAGTATTCTTTTTACAAACAATTAAATAAATTTCCCGCGCATCTGCGCGGGTTTTCTTTCTAGTTGAAATAAACAAGTATATGCAATATGGCAATCTGCCTATTGTTCTTTTGTGTTATAATGTTCTTTTACATTGATACGATATATTATTACCTACAAAAAACCACTATTTTTGTTTATAATCGTGATTGATCAGTTGTCAAGTTGGCCCCTCATGTTTAAATCTTGGCTTCACCAATGCATGTTACCATGATATGGTACTCCTAACTTTTAAACATAACTTTGTATAGACATGTGTTTTAATTTTATAGCCAAATGTTGGTTACGTTAGAGAATAAATTGAAGAATGTACCGAGTCACTAGAGACGAGCGAAGTGTGGTGGCGGCTATAGACGGTGCCACGGCTATTGGCAATCCAGACATCGTACCCATTGTCCGCTAGAATGTATCCTAGCGACTCATTGGGCGAGTTCATAAGCCAAGTCACCCCATCCTGCAAAGCAAACAGTAATTAACTTTGGTGCAAAACATATAGGCTCTATCCATAACATTAATTTCCTATCTATCCCATCAACTGAATATATTTTTGTCGTAAAATCAAGACAAGTAAGACTAATTCAATATTTGGCTTCGAAAATTCTTTAAAAGATCATTTTTTAAAACAAAATTCTCAACCACTTGATTTAACTACTCACAGATTCTAAATTTATTCACACACCAATGTTTACGTGCTGTTAATTCCTCCACACGTACCATCATGAGTCCGTGCTGCAGAAGCACCGGCACCTTGCCTCCGCCGCCGCCGCCGGCTGCCGTCTCGCCGCGGCCGCTCGGGATCCTCTGCAGGCTTAGGATGTACCCATCTTCCGTCGTCACCTGCACAAATTATTCCCCCAAATCAATCGATTAATTAATTACTATAACACCCGATCATTCTCAATTTCTCATCACGATTGAGTGCTCCGATTACGATGATCACACGTATATACACCATCCGTCCCACAAAGACTAGATATTTGTGTTTAACATTTAACCGTTCATCTTATTTAAAAAACTTATGAAAAAAATAAAAAAAATAGCCACGCGTAAAGTCACCTAATAACAATCATATAAAATTTTTAAGTAAGACGAAGAAACAAAAGATATATCAAAAACAAAAAAATAGAGTGTCTGTGAAATCAACCCGATGCATTATAAATTAAGCAATTGATTAATTACCGTGTGCTCTTCACACGCGTAGCCAAACGGTGCCACCCTTGACTGGCACGTGCCATTGGCCGCCGCCACACGCGACGTCGACGACGACGTCCCGGCGATCGGAGCCAGCCATGCTGCAGCTGCTGCTGCTGCGACGGCGAGGATAATTGTTGCCAGAGCCTGCAGGAGGCTAATTGGCTGCAAACCGCATCTGTTGCCTCCTCCTGGCATTGTTTTGTATAGTGACAGTGTGTGTGATCAGTAAGTAGTATGGTTCGATGTGAAATTAATTTCAGTTTGGTTTCCTGCTGTGATAACCTTTTATAGCTGGATGACTAGGATTATATCAGGATTAATTTAGTTATGTACGTCCATATGTGTGTTCTATGCATGTATATTATATCGTCTGTCATTTTCTTCTTGGATTAACGTGCGGGCGCTTCATGCGAGATATTATACATACATATGTGTACATTGTGTCAGAGTCATATCTCAATCTATAATAAACTACTCCAGCTTGCAGGACGTTTGTTACAATTTATTTTTCTTACATGTTGATTTTCTTTTTAAGAAATGGGAAAATAACTATTTCCAATCAATAGAGATAACTAAAATATATGTCAATCAATTCTTTGGCTCTCTTAATAAAACATCAAATTTAGCCATTTTCTTAGTAATGTCCCTCCAGTCAAAAATTTCGCTTTAATTCATGCAAATTTTGACCCCTCCCACATGAGGATGTTAAGGTGGACCAGTGATTAGCAGGGAAGTTGCAAAGAAAATAGTAGTTAAAGCAGCTTTTTTATTAGAAACACTCAATTATTGAATGACAATTAATTAATTAGCTAATCCTATATATCTATATAGTTAATCCCCACTTAGTGCAATTAATATGATTTTCCTGCAATGTGGTTGTTCCACGTCACCTTGATTGCTTTTGAACTGTTGGATTGAAGTTATACGGTAGGATTAGATCGTTTTTGATTGGTCTGCTGCTGTAAAACGTGAGTTGAACCATGGTCCAGGCCCACCAGGCAAAGCATTGAAATTTCTCGCGTGCATGTGCGTCTCTGTGTCTTCCAAGCGCCTCATCTTTTCCAATACCGTTGATCTAGCTCGCCCCACTATAAATTCTTCATTGACGTGGTCTACAGAATCACAGGTACTATTTTTTTACCTCTTTTCCAGTTCTTGTGCTTTGCCTCTTCTGATCGACTGTTCATGTTCTTCTTTTTATTTGCTTTCTTAAACTGCCACATGCTATATTGCCAATCTTTGTTTCTTTTGAGATTATGTTTTCCGATTATTGCATCATATATCATGTAAAATTATGCTAATTATACTCTTCTCATATTAATCTTATAATATAGCTTTGTCATCATATATTTTCCATATGAATAGATGCAGAAATCTATTTGATTCCAGATTCAATAGTGAGCCAAAAGCCCACAGGTTAGACTACTAAACTCCCTGTTTATTAAGTTTGCATCATTTTAAGACACGGTAAGCATAATATAGGCCTACCATCTCCTTTCTTGACTTTTCAAGTTATATTTTGGTAAAATAGACAGTTTACCTGTTTATTTAGGTTGCAAACAAAATTAGAAAATCTCTTCAAAGGAAATGAAAGGATTGCCAAGGTAGCCCCTCAGCTTCATGAAGAAATAAATGTTAATTAAGAAGGCATATGTTTATTAGACAACATTTTTTTTTCCTCTTGGAGAGATGAACAGTGCCCATGATTTTCCTGCTCTTTCCTTGATTACCTAAGTAACATATGGGTACCCGCGCGTTGCTGCTCTTTCCTTGATTACCTAAGTAACATATGTGATAATATAGTATATGTGAGTTCTAAAATTTTCTTTCCTACCTACTATATAATTTTTTCCATGTGTTTATATATTTTTTTTACCTTTATCAGTTATCCAAAGGTTATAAATGATTAGGTTGTATGGTGTGCCTTTTAGAAAAAAAGAGATGCAATTTATACACCCTTGATGAATTATCCAAAGTCTAGAAACAATTGAGATGATATGAAGATATGCAATTTACAACCTTGATAAATCATCTAAAGGTTAAAAATAATTGAGGTGATATAGCTTCACGACAGAAAAGAAAATTAGCACTAACTACACTTAGTTGGGATGAACTAAGTGTTGCGTTTTCTAGATAAGTGGTATTAAATACAAAGATAGAGACTACTGAAACAGTCTAGTTAACTAACTTTAGAATATGGGTTGTATACTTTTTAGCACATAGCATTTCTTCTTTCAATTAGTGAACAAGCCACCTTACATTTCTTTACTGTCATACATTTATATAAATAAGTTTCCGCAGCAACGCGCGGAGTAATTTTCTAGTATCAATTAAGACGCAAATCACTAAATCCATATATATTGAATGGCATATGAAATAATCAAACAAACAACTTCGTATATATGCAGTAGATTTTCGTTTCTATTACACAAGAGACACACATGTATGTAGGTGAGTTGGTACATGTGTAGGTGAGTTGGTAAAGATAGGTGCACGTGAGGGAGATGTCTCGGGATCAAATCCCTACCTGACAAAAATTATATTTGACTTAGAAAAAAAGTTACTAGTGGTTGGGGCTTCGTATATGTTGAGATTATAGGCATATAATGATTTAATATATTCCATAAATAAATCATGGCATTGCAGATATATACTAGCATTAACGCATCATTAGATCTACACATGTAAACTAAGCAGTAAAACATGAACAGATCAAATATGCGCAACATATTGAACACGTACCGAGGTGGTAGAAAGACCGGCTACTCGGCAGGAACTTTTCGTGATTGCAGGCGTCTACGAAGGCGCGCAACACGCGAGCGAAGAGGAAGACGAGCCGTCGCGGACGAACAGGGAGCAGTCGCGCTAAGCGCTTCCCAAAAACCTTATTGTCGCCTTCTCCCGGTGCAGGACGTCGAAGGCAGAGGTTCCGGAGACCTGCTCTCCCGATTGCCGGTGCACGCCGGCGAGCGGGATAGAGTAATCTACGAGCGACGGCGTAGCACAGAGTAGGAGGCAAACCCTAGATTGATTTTGCGTGTGTTGCGTGAAGACGGCGGGTCGGTTTATATAGAGAAGGGTTGCTTGATCATGGCGCCCGCACGATCTCCACTGCGCATAACCGAACCGGATAAGTCGCGCGTAACTTATCCGGACTCCACGCCGTTTTCACGCACCGGATTTTTCGGAACATTTCCAAAACAAAAACGAATCCGAATTTGCAGCAAAATAAGACTGCAAAAGGAGGCTGCATCTGCGCAAGGTGAGGAACCAATTTTTGGCGGACCATTCGACGCGTACATCGTGCACGCGCGCCGCCTGCCCTGCCCGGCCAGGCGAGGTGAGCGAGCGCGCGTGTGTTCCCCCTCTTCTCTCCACCACACATGCTTCAAGTGGCTAGGAGGGCATCCTCCCTTTTAAGGAGGTCCCTCTCTCCTAGAATAAGCAAGGTGGTACTAAACTCCACATGCATGCCATTCCATGAGGTGGGCTTTTGTGATTTTCCAAAGAATTAATCTTCGAGTGGGCTAAGGCCCATCCATTAATTCCAACAATCCCCCACCAAATCTCAAAATCCCACTGAGATTTGCCTTTTCCAATGTACTGTCTATATACCAGCGGTTCGATGGAGACCGATTAAGGTTGAACTTCTATCTAGAACTCCAAGCTACACTTACTCACAACTTTAACAATGGATTACGCCTTGAATTGTAAGTCTTGTGCAAGCAAGTTTCACTCAAAGTCTTATCTGGTACTAGACCGTCTGTAGACTACCCCTCGGGTGGAGCGTATAAGTCATACTGCTAGGTCTTTAGTAAGCTTCCTAGAAGATTCACCCAAAATCTTCATAGACTGCGACCAGCAGTCAAGCTCACAAAGGTGAGTTCTTTCAAGAATGCTCTGCAGGACAGCATCTTCGCTAATTAAAGTCAACAGAACTCATTAAGGCATAGCCAACCTGCCTTGCAGCTCACGAGAGTACATGCATCTTCACTTAGAGAGGGTATATATCGGTACTCTCCTCTAGTTTACTAATGGTTTGTTCTTCCGAGGATCTAATTCACGGGATCTCCAATCACATAGACTTGGTTACCGCCATAGTATAACTCACATGGGTCTCAAACCCATCTCCTTCGATGCATTGTCTATCATATTTCGTGATAGTCCCTTCGTGAAGGGATCTGCCAGGTTTCTAGTTATTTGGATGTAATCCAACGTTATAACTCCGGAGTTTCTCAACTTCCTGACAGACTTCAATCGTCTTTTGACATGTCTAGACGATTTCATATTATCCTTAGAACTATTCACTTTGACAATTACCGTTTGATTGTCACAGTTCATAAGGATAGCCGGCACCGTTTTTTCAACAATAGGCAGATCCATTAATAGATCACGCAGCCATTCTGCCTCAACAGTAGCAGTATCCAGTGCCATCAACTCTGCTTCCATGGTTGACCTCGTCAAAATGGTCTGTTTGCAAGACCTCCACGAAGCAGCACCACCACCTAGTATAAAGACATATCCACTAGTGGCTTTGATCTCATCCACATCAGAGATCTAGTTAGAATCACTATATCCTTCCAGTACCGTAGGGTACCCAGAATAGTGAAGCCTCAATTCCATAGTACCTCTCAGATAGCGCATTACTCGCTCAAGTGCACGCCAGTGATCATCTCCTGGATTAGAGGTAAACCGGCTCAACTTGCTCACAGCAAAGGAGATATCAGGCCTAATTGCACTAGCTAGGTACATCAGCGAGCCATTGATTTGGGAGTATTCCAGTTGATTCCTAACAATTCTCTTGTTCTTGCGAAGCAACAAGCTAGGATCATAAGGCGTTGGAGAAGGCTTACTATCAATGTAGCCAAAGCGATTCAAGATCTTCTCCACATAATGAGACTGCAAGAGTGTAATCCCATTCTCACCTCTAATTAGCTTGATGTTTAGGATAACATCAGCTACTCCCAAATCCTTTATATCAAATTTTTGAGACAAGAATGATTTAACCTCATTTATCACCTCAAGATTTGTCCCAAATATCAGTATGTCATCAACATACAATCACAGAATAACTCCCTCACCCCCACCATGGCGATAGTATACACATTTATCTGCCTCATTGACTGCGAAGCCTGCAGATGTCAATGTTCTATCAAATTTCTCATGCCATTGCTTAGGAGCTTGTTTCAGACCAT